TACAGGTGAAAGCAGTTTTATTTTTACGGTGCATCTCTTAATGCATTTAATTCTTCAGCATCCAAACCTCACCCACCTGACAGCGAGTACCTGAAGTAAAGGTGAGGAGGATGGATTCAGTCGACCAATTAGCACCGAGCGTTTACAGCGTCGGCTTCAATCTGCTGCAGTGGGAGTGTTTGCGAGCGGCCGGCGAGGCCCGGCCGGCTCCAGCCGGGGTGTGATCCCTCAGCTCTCGGCCGTGTTTGATAAAGATTAATTCAATCCTATTTTCTGCCCTGAAATGCTTCTTGCTAATGTAATTCTGTGTGTGTCAGATTCCCGTCTTTGTGCGTCTGTCTGTCTGTCTCGTCCTCCTAAGGAACACTAAGCACCTTATCCATGTTGAGGACCAACAAAAGCAGCAGGAAGAGCGGCGGCGGCGGCGTGTTGTAATTCTCCACCGCTGATTCATTATCTGTGCATAAGTACTGGCGGGCTGAGCGGCACTTTTCATTTGCTGGAGTCGAAGCTGTCTGCATGTGTTTGTGTGTCGGAGAGAAGCAGCTTCACAGCGACTGGAGCTGGTTTGGAGGCTTTAACATCTAACAAGGCTCTTGTTTTTTGGCTGATGTGCATTTTTCTGATTCCACATGTGCTCAGCTGCACTAATTAATTTTAAAATGACACTGTGCTGGTAGTAAATAGATCCGCTTGCAGTAATTTGTAGAGCCAGCAGGAGGTGCTGCACAGTCCGAGTCATTTAATCCACCTGTCTGCTCATCCAGAGCTCAGTGCAGAGAAAGTTAGGACAGATGACTGTGATCTTATTGAAGCAAATGATGTCCTTTAAAATCATTAAAACGAGACATTTAAACCAAATAATTGCAGTTAAAGCACAATAAGAACCACTGTGGTTGTGATGAAGCTTCTACTGCAGATCAGAACAAGAAGGTTCAGCTGGAGACATGTCAGAGTTTCTAGTCTCACCTGCAGACACCTGTAGAGTAATGCAGACTTCAAAGCACAGATCTGCACTCGTTGTAACACATAACATCCTTTAAAACCGCTAAACTAGACGTTTAAATCAAACAATTTGAACTGAAGCTTCAGAATAAATACTGTGGTGGGATAAAAGGTCATAGATGTGAATGTTTTTGCTAAAAGACGAACCTTCTGTTGTGTTTTCTGGTGCAGTAAAGGTTCTGATTCTGGTCCACATGTTGTGTTCAGCAGCAGCGAGCAGAGTTGGAGGCCTGAACGTTCCTGCTGTGGCTCCATCGAGCTGTTGGTCTGTGCAGGAGGTGGAAGCAGCGCTGAGCGTCTCATGTTGTCACAGTGACCTCTGCTGCATACGTCCGACACGCAGCGCTCATACATGTGGATATGCACACGCTGAACCGTGTAATCACATCTAACTACGTGAACGCTGCCTTCAGCCTTCAGCCTCACACCTTAATGCATTTCAGCGACTTTCTTGTAACTCTTGTTTGTTTTTGAGTTCATTTATTTGACTCCACTCACAGCAAGACTCACTGACTTCTCAAACAGTTAGATGGTTTTTTACCAGAACGCTGGAAACCTTACCCCTGTTGTCCCTTCAAAATAAAAGCATCCTTTGTGTGTGAGACCTACAGAACTAGTGTCCACCACAATGTGAACGTAAACGTCTGGTTTCAGCTGTTTATATTATCTGTAATCAAACAAAACCAGGAAAAGCTTTTTTTTTCTTTTTAATATCGACCAATATCTGTAAAATAATTGTATTTTTATCTGATTTAAATCATGTAAAATTTTGTAATTTTAACATTGTAAAAGAATGAATTCTTATTTTTAAAATGCAGATTTTTTTAGACATTATTTACAGTTTTGGCCTGTTGTTATTTTTTATATAATAAACATGTAAATGAACACTTTTTTTCTGTGTATTTACTAGTTAATAATTGTAATTTAACAAAACAAGAAAAATATTTTAAAAAATAACTCCTAAAAAATATGATAAAAGAATTCATTTCTATTTGTAAAAGTATATTTTTTCGATGTTATGTTCAGTTTTTGTCTGATTTTTTAATGGCTAACATAAATTATTGCTTTTTTATGACTTTGCTAGTTATCTGTAATTTACCAAAACAGGAAAAATCTGCACATTAACCCTACTTTTTTTTAATATTACAGTTAAAAACCATTAAACAAACTTTATTTTTTTCATGCTGCAGACTGCTCCAGCTCCTCACCCTGCATCCTCTCACCACAGAGTCGCTGCACATGTATTTATAATGAGTCCATCGCTGGAGCCTTTTCCACTCATGTCGTATATTACAAGTTCTCTCTGACTAAGAGCATCTGCTAAATGCTAAAATAAGTGTTTAGCGGCCCGTCGGAGAGTTCTTCTGCAGGCGTTGGAGGAGGGGACGACTCCCAGCATGTGGAGGGTCTCTTTGCTTATCCCTCTCAGCAACTGGTTCGCCTGGTGCTTGAATATTAATGACGTCTGGTCCTAAAAGCTTGCTTTGACTGTGACCTAGCCACGCTGTGTCCCCAACACACACACACACACACACACACACACACACACACACACACAGGCCCTTCATCCCTTCCTGGGATGTGAAGATCTTCTTTCCTGAGGGACTGCTAGATGAGGAGGGTGTTGATTACTGCAGTGCTCGACAGTCGAGTGTGTGTGTGTGTGTGTGTGTGTGTGTGTGAGTGTGTAGAAAGGCGGCAGGTTAAAGAGAGGGGTAGCGAGCTAGCACCTCCTCTAGACTCCTTCTCAGCTCAGTGTAAAATTGCTTTCAAACACACTCCATGGAAACCCACAAGGTCACACTTACACATGCACACGGAGCGTCGGGGAAATTACTTTAAAAACAGAGTTAGACCGGCTTTTTTTTCACAATTTACACCTTAAATTAGCAGCAGCACGGTCGTGTTAGGAGGCTACTGGAGGAAGTTATTCTGGAAAAACGTTAACGTAACCGTAAGCCGTAATCACTCACGTAAAAAACAAACTTTTATAAATAAACTTCTGCTCAAACATAAACTAGCTAGTGAAATCAGTTCCACAGTTTTTCCACATTTTCGCATCAGAACTTCAGGAAATTACTTTAAAAACAGAGCATGAGAAGCTGATTTACATTAGATGCAGAACGACACCTTAAATGAACAGCAGCACGGTCGTGTTGGGAGGTTACTGGAGGTCAGAGCTCGAGTTAGTTTGGAAAAATGTTAACGTCAGAATTATCCATAAAATCCATTTTAAAATCCATAAAGAAATAAATAGTCTTCATATCTCACAAATAAACTTGTGCAAAAACATAAACGACTTTCACTCCTGAGCAAATACTTTAACCTCTTATGGTTAAATAGTAAAGAGAATAAAAAAATAATTTTAAAAAAGCATAAAAAAAAATAAAAATATGTTTTCAAAATATATAAAAATATTTTTAAAATAATTATAAAAATATATAAAAAGAATAAAAACAAAATAAACAAAAAGAATAAAATAATAAGAATAAATCAAATAAATAAATAAAAATTGAAAAGAATTAACTGATGTGCTACTATAACCCAAACTGTGACGTCTACACTTGTGGACTCCAGGCCTTGAGAGGTTAAAACAGAGTTAGACACGTTTTTTTTTTTTTTTATAATTAAACCTTAAATGAACAGCAGCACCGTTGTGTTGGGAGGTTACTGGAGGTCGGAGCTCAAGTTAGTTTAGAAAAAATGTTCAGAACAAACACAAATCACATTGAAAACAAACTTTCTATAAAGCATGTTCATATCTCACTATAAACCACTGCTACTACCGAGCAGATGAAATCAGGACAGATCGATAGATTCTCTCTGAGATTTATCCTGACAGCTGATGATGAGATCGATTATTGGTCCGTAGTATTTTATCTGACTCTCTTTCTTCTCTCTTTCTTGCAGCAACAGCGGCGTCTGGACCTGCTAACCATCACCAACTCCGGTAAGTCTCTGGGATTTTATGCTCCGACTTCACAGCCGCCCACAATCCACCCGCCGCAGCACAGCAGCGTCCTGCGCTGCCCCCGCTGGAGGCTCGGGATCACTACGCATTTAGTCGCTTTTGTAATTCGGTTTGATATCGATTTGACAGAAACATGCCAATAAGGCAGCCAGAGCGTTTTCCTTTTTAGCCACTTCTAAAGAGGGGGACCACGCTGGGTTCTGGATGCTGCTTACACAGGACGGCACAGCGGTGCTGTCGGGGAGGCACAGATAAAACCGGGCCGGCGCTGTCAGAAGCCCTGCAGCAGAACCACTGCTGGTTTGATGGCTCCTGGTCAGTTACTTCAGCATGTGTACTGGGATGCTGTCTGTGCGTGTGATGTGTTAAATGTCAAACAATCGCAGCTTTGAAGCTTTTTTAAGGGGACAGTGTGGAAGTCGTGGATTCAGCTGCAGCCAGACAAGTCATAGCAGCAGACATGCTCACATAAACCCGTGTTACATACATCATGTCCTCTGTGTGTCGGTATGATGGAATGTGAAAGTCTTTTGTGCAACACCTGAACTCAGTGTTTGGTGTTCAGACAGATGACAGGATAGTTGTGCGACCGTCTGTGTTGTTGGAGGACATGAGTGTGTATCTGTTAGCACGTACGTAAACGGTGATGAATGGAATCTAAAGTCTACCATGGAAATGACCTTTTCATACAACTAAAGTGCATTAGTGGTTACAATCTGAGGGAATGCAACATGACACAGGTAGCACGGGGCAAAAGTAAAACACAGGAAAATAGAAAAATGGGAGTTTTGTGTGTAAAAGATGCTCACACATCTAAATGTTATTTAAAACTCAGACATGTTCCTGTAACTCTGATAAACGTGTCCGAAATTTTTTCACGAGCTCTGAAGAAAACCTCCCTTAACCACTCATTTTTATAATTCTACTGTCATAAACCGTCTTCTCCTCATCTCTGAACCACACGTACACAACTCCAACGACAGCGTATGCTCACATTGGTAATGTACCGACAAGCAGCACAGAGAGAGAAAAACCTTCTTAATACACTCGTTCATACAAACATTAGTGGGGGTTTTTTTTTCACCAGTGCAACCCTGGAGTTTGCACAACTTGAACTTGATCTATCATGTCAGTTCATCTCCTGTGAGGATATTTTTTGCGGATCTTTCTTCATTTCCAGTCGACGCACGGCGTGAGCTGCGATGCGCGTTCGTTTCGTGCAAAGCGGTTTGAATCGTATCCAACGTGCAGCTCAAACTCGTAGCACGTAGTCGGACGCCGTATGGCGCTCCGAAGTTTGACTGGATGCGGAAACATGTCGCCAGCGTGTGCCAGTCTCTTAGAGAAGCAGCTGTGCGAGCGAGGGATCCGCCGAAACGGAGCGCGGGGAGAAGTTCGGAAAAAGCGGGCGAGGAGAAACAGATGGCGACGGCGAGGAGGATACAGAGACCCATATGTCTAAAGTATCTGGATGATCTAATGTGCTTTGATTAGAATAATGCATATGCGAGGCTCGCCGAGACCTCGGTTAATTTAGCAGGTTTACGTTGCAGCTGTTCCTCGGGCCCCGGGCGGAGCCAAGACTCACCCCGAGCCTTCGCTGCTCGACGGAGGGCAGCCGGAGACACAGGAAGGGGAGGAAGGCTTCAGAGCAACACCTTCGATCGCCGAGTGAAACCAGAAAACAGGAGAATTAGAAGCAAGTCATGTAATGTTTTGTGTAAACATTTAAAGTTTGCAGCTAACTCGGCTGATGTAGGGAGGTCTCTGCTGTCCTGTACTGTGGCCTCTACAGGGGGTTTACATTAGTGCTGCAAAACAATACAAACTATACATGACGCTATCTGTTAGCACCTGTTTATACTCTGTAAGGACATCGTTGGTTTGCTGAGCTTTCATTAGGGAGCGCTGATGAACTGGCATCTTCATGACTCTTATGTCCAGGCTTTAGTCTGGTCCCTGAAAGACTTCTAAGGTCTGCATGATAAAGCGAGTTTAAGATAGCCAGGCTTCCTTTGCAGAGCTAATGTGTGTCAGCTTTCTTTTCTAACCAGGTTTTCTTCGTTAGGTTCTATAGTCAGTCCCGTAAAAAGGTCCATTTTGTGCATCAAATGACTGTTCTTCTGCACAAAACGGACCAATCGTGCGCCGCCTGCTTCGGTCTTGCTTTAAATGCTGATAGAAAACTGTCAGTTGTTTAAGTTAATATATTTATTTTACCGCTCGGTGCACTCTTGATGCAGCAAGAGCTCTGAAACTTTAAGGTTCTTACGTTTAAACTTCCAGTTCATGAAGGTGTGCTCCTGTCCCATGATGGAAATCACCAAAGTTTCTGGTTTAAATCAAAAGTCGTGGCTCTTTGCTTCAAACACAAATTCTACGTACATGAAGTTCTGAGTAAATTCAAGGTGACGAATAGTCTTGCTTCATTTTATATAAATAGTGCACAGCATGAATGGTTGTTGGGGATTTTCAGGGTTTGTATGCTGCTGGTGGATCGGTGGTTAGTACTGTTGCCTCGCAGCTAGAAGGTCGCGATTGTCCGTAGGTGTGAATGTGAGTGTGCTTGGTTGTCTGTCTCTAAGTGTAGCCCTGTGATAGACTGGTTACCTGTCCAGGTGAACCTGCCTTCACCCTGAGTCAGCTGGGATAGACTCCAGCCCCCCATGACCCTGGTGAGGATTAAGGTGTAGAGATGATGGATGGATGGATGCAGGCCCAAATTTAAAGCTGCAATTTGTAGTTTTTCTCTGATTCTTCCTTCTGTAGCACAAATATTTGGTCACATGAAGCTGTTTTCTATTTATTATCAGTATAGCATCAAAACCAACATCAAAAACAATCAGATGAATCTTATTTGAAAAAAAAACAAAGAAAAGGAAAATCTGAATGTTTTGCAAAGCCACAGCTGTTACTGAGACGATTTTAATTTAGTGCTTTTTTGTTTGTTAGCTGGTGTGAAGCGTCAAACTTTGGCGCTACACGACTTCTCAGGTGAGATAAACGTGGAACAACAACCTGACAACTCCTGGGGAAGATGTTTTCTTATTTTATTATTATTTAGAGTCGACTAAGCAGGTACCTAAACGTCCTGTTGAGCTTCCACCGTTACAGTTGCTACGACGTGCCGCCAAATTCATCTTAAACCAGCTCCAAACCCGACTTCCCCGTCCGGATGAGCTCCGCGGCAGAACCGGCCTCCTTCAGGGTTCGGTCGACACCCGCAGAGGGACCCGACGCACGCTGAAATAGCTTTCAATTATTCCTCACTGAAAGGTTTCTTCCTCCCGACTGGAGTGGAGCTCAGTGTGCCGTTTAAATTATTGCAGGTCATTATTCAGGTTGTTGTTATGTGTGGCCTTGGAGGTAAGTCTATTATATTCTTAACTCGGCAGACATATTTTATCCTGCCCTGCTGCTTATTACTATTCACAGTAGGTGAGCGAACACACACACACACACACACACACACACACACTCTGAACACGCTGAAGGTTATTATGATGGCTGTATGAGGAGCAGGTGATGCTTGCAGATGAGTGGCTGTGATAGGGAAACACAGGCAGGACATCCTCTCCTTCTCCCTGCAGATTAAAGGAGTTTCCTTCCCTCCTCACCTGCCTCCTCCCCCCCCTCCATCCGACGCCTCGTTTGACTCGCGTCGTTATCTGCCGTTATTTATTAGCGATCTTACTTTATCACGTTGTTGTTTTTGCCCTTTCTCGTCGTGTTTTTTTTCCCGCCTCCTCTCTCCGTCCTCCGTCGCAGCGCCTCGGCGGCGTGGCGGCGCCAACAGCAGGGGGAGTCACGGGGTGTGAACGGACTAATAGGCTGGAGTGGCGGCGCTAACGTGCTGCGTCTGAGCGAGAGAGGAGAGATCTGATGAGGATTCTGCCCCTGCTGCTCTGTTGGCCTCTGTTTCTAATGGCGTTCATTAGCTACTCTGAGGAATGATTCACACTTAAACATGCATTCGCACACGATAAATAAATGTAATTGAGCGCCGGAGTGAAGTCGTAACTTCCAGGCTCTGGTCTAGGCGTAGGAAAGCCTCGTTCACGACGCCGCCGCTGACAGTGTGCTGCAGATACTTTGCATTTCTCTAAATAGTCGATTAAAATGTTTTTTAAAATGTTTTTAATGCAACCGTTTCCCACATTGTAAACAGAACAGAACAGCTCAACATCAGCGGGTTGAAGGTTTACAGCTCGCAACAGATGTCTATAACAACAGAGAGGACTCAAGTCTGTTTTTCGGCTGTACCTAAAAAACTACAGTGACCAAAGTCCTTAAAGGCAAGACTCACCGCTCGGACTTTTTGGTGAAATAACTTACCTCAGGCTAACGAGATCAGACCCCGAATGATGCACAGAGAGGCATAACTGTTCAGAGTCAGCAGTCAAATCTGATGAAAAACTGCCTTTAAAGTTTGTGGATTTTTACCCCAGAATACGGTTTAAAAAGCACTTTTCCCCCCAAGCTGTACTTCTAGAATGCATGCAGATAGTTTTGCAACAACGCGGAGGAATCGTCAAGCAAGTAACATAAAAATAGAGCAAATAATTGGCTTTTTGTCTTACAATCGCCATCTGTTGTGTTACAGATTTCTCCCATAGATTTCTATTCATGGTGGTTAGCACCGTCGCCTCACAGCTAGAAGGTCACCGGTTGGCGTCCCGGTGAGGACACCCGGGATCTTTCTGCGTGGAGTCTCCATGTTCTCCCCGTGCAGTGTGGGTTCTCTCCGGGTTCTCCGGCTTCCTCCCACAGTCCAGAAACATGCTGAGGTTAATTGGTGATTGTAAATTGTCCGTAGGTGTGAATGTGAGTGTGCTTGGTTGTCTGTCTCTAAGTGTAGCCCTGTGATAGACTGGTTACCTGTCCAGGTGAACCTGCCTTCACCCTGAGTCAGCTGGGATAGACTCCAGCCCCCCATGACCCTGGTGAGGATTAAGGTGTAGAGATGATGGATGGATGGATGGATTTCTATTCATGCTTCTCTAACTGGAGACTGTCTTACGGCTGCTGTGATCAGTCGATGTGATCAATGGATGACGTCAATGCTCAAAATGCTTGGACATCAGTATTTTTTTTATTGACACACGGCCTTTATGACAAACGTTTTCTTTTTAGTATCATTGCATAATTGTTGCGTCATCATTTCAGTCATTTTCAGCTCCAGTGACTGATCAGCTCCAGTCAATGCTCCAGTTTTAGACAGCAGCAGTGGCAAAAAGTGGCAATAAAAAAGTTTCCAAAGTGCAAAAGCTCTGATTATTTTTAAATTATCACAAAACAAAAAGCTGGTTTGGACACTGAGCAGAGTTTCAGTGTCAGACCACCTGAAGAGAAACAGACTGGAGGCGTTTCTTTACTTCTCTCCTGCTCTCTGTGCTCACGTATACTGTTCTCTAATACATCTCAGTTACCAGTAAAGCTCTTCTCATTTATATATTTTTCAGTTTTTATTGTCAGACAACAAAACGAGTGTGAAATAGTGACTGAAGTGCAGCTCATGAGGACTACATGTTAACCAGCATTCACTCCCAAGCTGCTGCTCTGCAGCCGAAATCCTGGTTTCATACCAGCGACATCATCCCACAAACTCATGGTACACATGAGTTAAGACCACAGCTGTGCAGCGGGTTTGGTTTTATTTTCATAAAATTTAAAAGCTGCTGGCGAAGTCAGAGAGCAATCACACGACAAGGAGAGACGGAGTCGCTTTAGCTGCTCTGAGCCTGTAAAACATCCACCGACCGTGTTTGGTCGATTTAAAGACCAAACTTCACTTTGCTACGGACTCCAATAGAAAGCTGGATTTCTTTAGGAATTGTATAACTGACTTCAGCAGCAAACCCTCTGCTTTTAGTTTGTTTTT